ACTGTGTATGAACATCTCTAGTGCAGCTCTTGGGGAGCCTGCACTGAGAGTGACTGTCCCTTCTCTCTGAGTCTATCCACATGCATGTATTGCCCGTCTGTGTCTGACACACAGTTCTGTGTGTCCGTCCTGCCTGTGTGTTTCTGGCCTGTCACATTTGTCTCAGAGTGCCTGTGAGCATGCCACTGTCTGCCAGGCTGTGTGCTTCTCACCAGAATGTCAATGTCCTTCTGTATTTGTGTCTGTCCGTGTGTCCATCTTGCCTGTGTGCTGAGTTGATTTATCTGTGTCACTCACTCCCTGCCTTTATGCTTCTGGCCTGTCGGTGTCTTTGTGTGTTTGGCAGCATTTCAATCTTCCTCTTGAGTCTGCCCTGTCACTGTGTCTGTGTTTGACAGCCGTCTTGCCCAGATTTGTGTCTGACCCTGTCAGTGTGTCCCCGGTTGGCAGTCTCTCTGTGGCCAGGGTGACACGGGTGTTGTGTGTGTGACTGTGTATGTGTACACTCCTTGCCGCCCCCCCCAAGTCTGGCCACCCTGGGCCATGTTTACTCTGCCCCCAGCCGATTTCTGCCCTGCCCGGGGAGGGGCTGACCCTCCGGTCTGTCCAGCCAGCAGTCCACAGCCAGCAGTCCACAGGATGTTCCCGAGACGCTGTCTCCGCCGACATCCCCTCCCTTGGGCCACCGTCGGGTCAGGACCCAGGCGTCCAGGGCGGTGGGGGTGGGGCCGCAACGTGGCGGGGGGCATGCCAGGGCCCCGGAATGAGGGTGAGGGGTGGGGAGGCAACGGGCCCAACAGGTTCCGCCTCATTCCTGCCCCGCCTCTCACTTCCTGGGTGCCTGCCCCGAGCAGGGGGTGGACGGGATGAACCCCATGGCCTCAGAGCGCCTGGGTGGGGCATGGCGCGCCCCACAAGGACTCGCTTCTGCTGGTCACCCTGACACCCAGGCCTGAGAGACAGGAGGAGCCTGGGTCCTTCTACCGGCCAAGCCCCCTCCCTGCTCCTCTGCCCAGCTCTGGGAACAAAGCGTCCCATCTATTATTCACTTAATCCCATAAGGCCACAATAAGTGGGTCATAGTTATTCCCCATTTTCAGATGGGGAAACCGAGACCCAGAGAGTAATGAGGGCAGAGGCAGGATTTGAACCCAACCCTGTATGCTACCCAAGACCCCCAGCCAGCTCACCAATAGCCTTCCCTCCCCTCTCTAAAAATGGTACATGTGGGGTGGAGTATGAACCCAGGCCCCCACGAGGCCCGGCTCAAGGGGGCGCCTGGCTTGCTCTGAGTCAAAAGGAGCCCCTGGATGAAATGAATAAGAAAACGGCTTTAACCGTTTCATCGCCGATGGGCTCTGCAAAAACTTCCTGTGGGCTATGGGGGAGGGGCTGGGGGCTGGGTTCCCAGAGGGTTGGGGGGTAGGTACTGCCAATTCAGGGGTGGGAGAAACGGCTCTAGGGACCTTGGCAAGGGATGTCTAAGGCAAGACACCAGACACCGACCCTCGCCGGAGGTAGAGCCCCACTCCTTAAGCTCTAGGCCCCCAGTACTCGGTTCTCAGCCCCCACTGCCTGGAGGGGGGGTCTCAGAGTCCGCAGCCCCCTCCCCAAGGGCTTGAGTCACACAAGGGGAAAGCCGCGAGGGGTGAGTCACGGGGTGGAGAAGGGGAGCGAGGTCGGCTGCGGCCAGGGGACCCTCAAGCTGGCCTGAGTCACGCACGCCAGGGCCTCGCTGACCCCAGCCCCTTCCCCGGAGACCAGGAGGCCAGGAGCGGGCAGCGCATTGTCGGTGGAATACGGAGCTGGAGGAAGAGCGGGAGGGGGGAGGAAGCACGAGCCCGGCCGCGCGGGAAGCTCCGGTTCCCATGGTAACCGAGGGGTCTCTCAGCTCGATGGCGGGGTTCCTCCCTTGTCAGGGACGGTCCCCGCGCGCCGGGGAAGCCCCCGCGCGCTCTATCGAGGGGCCACAAGTTTCAGGTCGGGCAGGAAGGGGTTAACGGCAGCCCCCTCCCGGGTTTCACCCGCGCCCAAAGTCCCCGCCAGGGTGGGGCTGTGCCCCGCGCTCCCCCGCGCGCCTAACCCCCGCGGCCGCCCACGCACGCACGCACGCAGCTAGCCCATCCCCCCGCGCTCGCACGCACGATCGCGTCTGGCTCCACGCACGCAGCGACCCCCGTCGTGCCTCACGTCACGCACGACGCACGCGCCCCCGCAGCGCCGGGAGGGGCCGAGAGCGGCAGGACTCCGGGCGCTTGACGCACCCCCCCAGCACATCACCGCCTCCTCACGCTGTCTTGTGTGACTTTGACACCCCCCCACGCAAGGTCACAAACTCTCAGATCCACAGTGTCACACGGACACAGGATACACCTGCCACACGTTGGCACAAACATTAACTAGTCCAGCCAGCTCCGCGGCGAATGTGGGCAGGGTCACACTGTCACACATCGTTTGTGGTAGGGCCATTTTCATACACAGATAGGTGGCATATACAGACACTCCGATAAAGCCACACCATCGAGACAAAGTAAGACACAGATAAAAGTCTTGGACCTCAGGACTCCAGTTGTCACACAGCCACTCCTCTCACATGGAGATTGTAGAGGCACAGAGACACATGCTGGGGACGGACACACGACGGTCATGCTGTCACGCAGACATCACAAGTAGGGCACATGAAGTAAAGTAGGGTCACAGACACAAACCCACAAGGCCACACACAGGGACACCAGATTGTCTCGGGGACATGGATAAACCAAGGACAAACATGACAGGCTCATGCTATCACAGAAAAACACATGATGGAGAGAAGTAGGACACGGTCACAGAAACACAACCTAAACCCATACTGAAGTACTGATTGTCATACATTCACTTCTCACACAAAGAATGACCTAGGGATATAGACACACAGCAAGGTCCCATAAAGAGAAGCATGTGCCCTAGTCCCTGACAGCACCCCCCAAAACCACCAAATCACACACACATAGCCTGTTGGGTAAATTCCCAGGGCCCCAAGACACAGATAGATGCAAACACATAGGCCTGTGCACACACAATCACAGACCCACCATCTCACACCTACATAGATGTGAACACACTTCACATGGACTCAGAGACATGTACAGACCCGGGGAGGGGGTCAGGATGGGAGTCCTGGTGGAATGTCAGTGTCTGGAGAGCAGAAAGCCTGCCAGAGCCCCTCATGGTATGGGGCATGGTGTCCACCCTGAGCTTGTGGTCAGCCCCGGGGGTGGGGGAGGGGCACCATCTCTAAATGTGTGAACCTAGGGTCTCCATCCCAGCTCTCATGACTGGGTCTCTGCCCAGATGTGAAGGCCGGAGGGGGCGGGCGGGGGTCCAGCTGTGGCCGCAGGGAGGGGTTGAGTCACCCGCTTCCCAGCAGTACAGCCCAGGCTGGGCCCAGCTGTTCCTGGAAACAGAGAGGAGGGGGTGGGGTCCCCAAACCAGCTGGGGGCTGCTGGTCCAGACCTGCACCCCGTCCTTAATGGAGGCCTCCAGATCATTCCCCAAACTTGGGGGCTCTCTCCACCGAAAGTGGGGGGTTTGAATCCTTCCCCCAAATAAAGGATCCCTGCTTCAAAATGAGGGTTTGTGATCCCTCTCTTTGGATTGAAGGCACACTGATGCCCCCAACAGTGGGGTTCCCTGTGTCACATAATAGGGATTGCTGCTCTTCCCTGCCAACGTAGGGAGCTCCCTTTCCCCCCAAACATGAGATTCCTTGCCGCCCCAAATGGAGGGTTGTGACTCCTCCCCCAACGTGAGGGCACCCAGACCTTCCTTTAAATCTGGGGACTTTTGGCTCCCTGAACATCTATAACGCCTATAATACCATGGCAACGTTAAAACAATTCAAGTCCATGCTCCGAATATTTAGATTCCTCCTAAACATCAAGATCCCTGCGGGTTTTGCAAGTATTGGGGACCCCACTCCCAAATATTTGGCAGTCCTAGCATGTCTCCCAACATTGGGCAACCAGGTCCTCTCACAAATAATCCCAGCCTCCTCTCCTTGTAACAGCCATAGCTCCGGCTCACCTTCCACTTCTGCCTGGTGGCAGGGGGGCCCCGCTTCCCCTTACTGGCAGCACCCTCTCCTTAGTGGGTGCGGGATAAGGGAATCAGCGGCGGCTGTTCTCACGCCCGCCGCCGTAAGGCAGCCTTGTCCGGAAGCCGGCACTGTTGGCCCTTGTCCCCTTCCTCCCTACTCCCCCCCACTCCACTCTACTCCCAGGGGATGGAGGCTGAAAACAACTCGGAAGGGGACGTGGGTGTGTAGACGAGCCTCCAAGGCCCCTGCGTGCGTGCAGTTGTGCGTCTGAGTGGGCTGTAACCTGGAGTCTGGTGCTAGAGTGATTGTGTTCCTGCGATGGTGCGGGGAGCGGAGGAGTGCGGGGGGGAGAGGGGAGCTGTAGTCATCCTGCTCAACCCATTCGGGGGCAGGGTCGCCGAAGCCAGACTCTGGGTTGGAGGGAGCAGCTCCCCGCCCCTCAGACCTAGACCCACCCCCAAAGCAGAGTCCGCCCCTCTCTCTGGGTACAGCTAATAACCTCTAATTACTGCTCATTACCTCGCCCGCTCCGCAGGGGAGGGACTGCCGGGGAACTCAGGCGTCAGAGGTCCGGTGCTTTAACCCCTCCCTTAAAGCCGGATCCACCCAGAACCTCTGTTTCCTCGCCTGCGAACCGGGAATTTAAAGAGCACTTGCTACCTAGAGTCGTGGAGATTTCAACCATCTATATATTTAAATCGCTTAGCGGAGAGACTGCATTTTGTAGGCACCCCATAAATGGTGGCTGCGATTTTATTGTTAACTAGTATTGTTAGCACTTTTTCTTTAAGCCCCCTTCACTGCCCAGACGGGGTCTCAGAGTGGGCCCATCCTTTTCCCCGTAGGCCGCGTTCCTGCTGTCTGGGCGCCCCGGGTGGGCCGTGGCGATCAGGGCGGCCCTGTCCTGGGTTCTGAGGGAGGAGGGCCCAGGCGCGGGCCTCAGGGAGGGGAAAGGGCAGGGAAAGCTCAGTGGAGGACGGATCCAGGCTAGGCAAATAAGTCTGTCCGTTACCTAGGACATGTGTCTGACCCATCCTGCCGTCGACTTAGAACCCAAATCCCCTTGTCTACCCCTAGGCAAGACTATCAAGTCACCTACACTGGGAAGAACCCTTTAGTGTTGTTCCCCCTCCAAGTCCATAGAATATATTAAGACCTGCCCCTCTCCTGCGCAAAGGCTCTGATCATAATGTGGCTAGACAGCAGAATTTCTTTCAGCCGAAGGAAAGGGACGAGAATGCGCCTGTACAACAGGGTGGGGCAGCTCCGCCCCCGATGAAAAGGAACGACGGTGAAGTCTCCGTTACCCCAAAAAGAGCTCGGGGAGGAGGGGAGGCGAAGCCACCCTTGGGATGCGCAAGGCTGGCCCAGACTGACCCCTAGCGGCAGGCTGGCGCCCAAAAGCTTCCCGGATCTAAGATGGAGGGTCTGAAGCCCTAAGCTGGTGCCGGGAGGAGATCACGTGTCCAGGGCGGGGCCTGCGCTTAGGGGGCGGGGCGGCGCTCTAGGCCGAGCGGGAGGTCGGGGCTGCGGGCGCTCGCTGGTGGCTGATCTGGACGCCGCTGCGGTGGCAGGGCTCCGCGGCCGGGGTTGAATCCAATCGGGAGCCATGAGCGTGGACAAGGCCGAGCTATGCGGGTCTCTGCTCACCTGGGTAGGTCGGGGGCGGGGCCAGGGACAGGTGTACGCCCTCTCTTTTCGCCCGGGAGCCCCGACCTTGGCTCTGTGCACCCTTCCGTCCTGGGGCAGGGAGGAGGAAGGGGTCGTCGGCCTGCCAGGCCGTTGCACTCTGGCCTGAGCACCTGACCCGTCAAGTGGCAGGTTTCCGTGTAAAGAGCAGGTGAGGCCACGCCCCTTGGTGGCTGGGTCATGTGGGGCGAGGGCACAGGTGAGCTGGCCTGGTCACGTGGTGCCTATGGGGACCAAGTGACTCGCGGTCTGACCTCGCCTGGTCGCGCGGGGTTTGTTGGGCAGAGGTATAATGAGGCCACGCCCCCTCCGGTCCGTCCAGGTGAGCAGAAGCCACTCCCCCACGGAGTTGGCTTGCTGAAGCAACAGGCCAGCCCCCACCCAGCACGTGAGGGTCCTGCTGACCGGAAAAGTCTGTGAAAGGGGTTTTGTTCCGTGGTCCCAGGCCCTGATAATGCCTGTTGCACTTTCCTCTCCCCCACCAGTTGCAGACGTTCCATGTCCCGCCCCCCTGTACCAGCCCCCAGGAACTGAGCAGTGGCCTCGCAGTAGCCTATGTGCTGAACCAGATGTGAGTGGGGCTGAGGGGGAGGGTCCCAAAAGGGTCCCCCAGCAGCTCATCCCACCTTCTCACCCCCAGAGACCCTTCCTGGTTCAACGAGGCATGGCTCCAGGGCATCTCAGACGACCCAGGTCCCAACCGGAGGTTGAAGGTGACAGGTGGACTCATGAATGGGGGACAGACTGGTGAAGAGTTGATCAGGGAAGGGTCAGTTAGACATGTCCTGGGTGATGGACAAACAGATCTGGACAGGAAGAGGGACAGATGTATGGTGACCAGCCAACTATGTATTTATTCCTTCATTCTTCTATTAAGCAGGCCTGGGTGTGCAGCAAGGAATAACTCAGACAAAACCCTGCATACACAAACATTAACATTGACTTCCAATGGCAATTAGCTCTATGAAGACAATAAAAGCTGGGCCACGAGAGAGAGCAACTGAGAGTGGGTGGGTGGTTACTCCAGATGGGCTGATCTCCATGTAAGATTTGGAGGAATAGCATTCCAGACACAGAGAGCAGCAAATGCAAAGGCCCTGAGTTGGAAATAAGCTTGGTGTGATCGAGGAAGGGCAGGGGGGTCAGAACAGAAAGCAAGGGGGCAGGAATGGTAGATGAGATCATCAAGGGCCTGGCAGGCTGGAGCAGGGAAGATAGATTCTATTTTAAGTGCTGTGTAAAGTCAAGGAAGGATTTTAGTAGAGGAAAGACACAAACCTGGCTTGGGCTTTAAAAAGCTCCCTCTGGATGCTTGTAGAGAAATGGAGGGGTGGGCAGCAAGAGTGGAAGCTGGTGCAATAATTCAGGGGAGAGATGATGATGGCTAGGGTCAAAGTGTAGTGGGGCAGGTGGTGAGAAGTGACTGGATTCTGGGGACACGTGAACAAGATGGGCAGGTGGGTAAGAAGGGCAGGCAGCCAGACAGGTCACTCCTAGGAGAGGGGACATACAGACAGAGAATGGGGCTAAACAAGATGAGATGACAAGGGATTGGGAGGCGAGACAGAGAAAAAAAGAATGGGCTAGACAGATTCAGGGTGGGGGCTGCTTGGCCCCTTCTGGGGGGATTTGGGACCCTGGACACAACTCCTTGCCCCTCCCCAGGTCAACAATCTGAAGACAATCTTACAGAGCCTGGTGGAGTACTCCCAGGATGTGAGTAACTGTAAAGGGATTTAGGGGGTTGGGTTGGGAGGAGGGGGGATCCGTCAGCCCCTGATACCCCTTCCTCCTCCCATCCTCAGGTCCTGGGGCATCCCATTTTGGAGCAGCACCTTCCAGATGTGAGCCTTATTGGCGAGTTCTCCGACCCAGAAGAGCTTGGCAAGCTGCTTCAGCTGGTGCTGGGCTGTGCTATCAGTTGCGAGAAGAAGCAGGGTATGGGAGGTTAGGTGGTCCCTAGGGGAAGACCTGAGGAAACGCTTCTTGCCCTTCCACCCTCCATCTCAGTCTCCCCCACCTTGACCCCCAGAGCACATCCAGAGAATCATGACGCTAGAGGAATCAGTTCAGCATGTGGTGATGGAAGCCATCCAGGAGGTAGGTGGGTATGCCCACTGTAGCGAGGAGCTTCAGGGGAGGGGACATCTCCAAGGCAGCTGGGCACAGGCTCTGCCCTGGTAAGGTCTGGGCTCTGTCTGGAACTCAGCTGGCCACATTTCCCTGTCCCATGTGTCTGCCAGCGCCCCCCAGCTCTAAGTCACAACCTAGCACACTAAAAGGGCCAGGCCTCGGAATTCCCTGGTGGTCCAGTGGTTAGGACTCAGCGCTTTCACTGCTATGGCCCGGGTTCAATCCCTGTTTGAAGAACTAGGATCCCACAAGGCGCGCAGTGTGGCCAGGTGGCCGGGGAGTGGGGAAGGACCAGGACTCCCTGCGTGCTGGACACATGAGGCAGCCTCTGGGCTGGGGTTATTGGGGAGGACTGGCTTTGGGGACAGGAGGATGGAGTAGTTCTTAGTCTGGATTGTAGAAGCCTTGGAGGCTGCCCTCAGAGGGCCCAGTTCATCTCAATGTCCTCCCACTGCACCCCCCCCCCTCCAGCTCATGACCAAAGACACCTCTGACTCCCTGTCACCGGAAACATATGGGAACTTTGATAGCCAGGTAAGGGGTGGGGACCTTGTTAAAGGTCCGACCCCATTACTGATTTTCAGGGCTACCTAAGGAGCAAGGGCTTGACCTTAAGCCTGTAAACCACTCCCATCCTCCAGGGTCCTATCCTCTTCCCTTGCCAGGTCCCCAGGGTTCCTGAATTGCCTTTTCTCCAGTCCCCTCAGGTCCCAGCCCTCTCTTCTTAGATCTTGAGGGTTTCTTGGCTCCCTCCTCTCTGTCCCTGAAGATCCCATCCTCCGTTTCCCCATTTTCCTCCCCTGGATCCCTGAGTTTCTTGTTTCTCCCCACCCTCCCCCCTCAACTCCTCTCATCAGTCCCGCAGGTACTACTTCCTGAGTGAGGAGGCTGAGGAGGCTGACGAGGCTGACGAGCTGCGGCAGCGCTGTCTGGACCTGGAGCGGCAGGTGGGGCCGAGGTGGGGGTCCACAGGTTCTCCCAGGGCAGGGCTGCCCGCATAGCCCCTCTCCCAGCTCCGGCTCGTCTGTATGCCCTGCCCACAGCTGGTACTCCTGTCAGAGGAGAAGCAGAGCCTGGTTCAGGAAAATGAGGTGCTGAGGGAGCGGGTGGGCCGGTCCGAGGGTGAGGGTGCCACCGGCCTCACCTCCAAGAAGCTGCTACTGCTGCAGTCCCAGCTGGAGCAGCTGCAGGAAGAGAACTTCAGGTATGGTCAGTTGGGGACAGGGCCAGCAGGCCAGGGGACTGGGGCAGGCACAGTCCCTTCATGTGGTGCTTCCCCCACCCCCAGGCTGGAGAGCGGCAGGGAGGACGAGCGCGTGCGCTGTGCTGAGCTGGAACGGGAGGTCGCCGAGCTGCAGCAGCGGAACCAGGAGCTGACCAGCCTGGCCCAGGAGGCACAGGCCCTGAAGGATGAAATGGATGAACTTCGGTGAGTGGCAGGTCCCCACCACACACCCCCATTGCCAGAGTGCCCCTCTGATGCCATAGGACCTCTGTAACCCCCAAATTCCTAGTGGGCACCCACAATGCCCTGTTGACTCCACCGCACTATCCTGGAATCCACCTTGTCCTCTGGACAACACCAAACTCCCTGGATCCATGGTGCCCCCCAGGACCCCACAGTGTCCCCCTGTTATCCCACATTGTATCCCACATACCTTAGAGCAGGGGTCACAAACCCCTGGGCCACGGACTGGTTCCGGTCCGCAGCCTGTTAGGAACTGGGCCACACAGCAGGAGGTGAGCAGAGGGCGAGAGAGTGAAGCTTCATCTGCCGCTCCCCATCGCTCCCCACCACTCTCCATCACTCTCCATCACTCGCATTACTGCCTGAACTATCCCCCTACCCCCCGCCGGTCCGTGGAAATATTGTCTTCCATGAAACCGGTCCCTGGTGCCAGAAAGTTTGGGGACCGCTGCCTTATAGGATCCCTGTGACCCCAGCAAGCCTAGGGGGTCATAATGCTCCCCAGACCCCACTGCACCATTCTGGGACCCATCATGCCCCAGCATCCCATGGTGCCCTTCAGGACCCCACAATGCAATAACTTTGCCCCTGGTGACCCCTCTGTCCCCCCATCACATGACTGTACCTTCTTATGACTCCACAGCATCCCTGCAAGCACAAAGTGCTTGGTAGGCCCCCATAGCACCCACCCCTCAACCTCACTGTGCCTTCTGTTGCCTCAAAGGGCTCCCCTGTGACCCCCATGGCATTCCTGTAATGTTAAAGTGCCTAATGAGCCCCTACCATACCTTCAAGAGCTCCACAGTGCTCTGCCTCAAAGATCCCCCATGACCCCACCACGGCCCCTGCACCCACAATACCCTTGTTAGGCCCATAGATACATCATGACCCCAAAGTGTCCATGGGGGCTCCTCAGAACCTCTGGGCCCCATCATTCCCCCTGTAACCCCACAGTCATTTTTGTGTCCCCCAGATTCTGATTTTGACCCTGGGCTAACCATTGATGTTTAGGGCTCCCTTTATGCTCCCTAATGATTCCCCCAACGCCACCAGGCCCCGCTGACCCCTGACCCTCATGACCCATCACCTTGAACCCAAATGCCCCAAGGCTGACCTGACACCTTCCCCTGCCCTGAGGGCCTCGCATCCAGGCTGAACCCTTGACCTCAGACCCGCCTCCTCTTCCCATTGCCCCCGCCCGCAGGCAGTCGTCAGAGCGCGCAGGGCAGCTGGAGGCCACGCTGAGCAGCTGCCGGCGCCGCCTGGGCGAGCTGCGGGAGCTGCGGCGGCAGGTGCGGCAGCTGGAGGAGCGCAACGCCGGCCACGCAGAGCGCACGCGGCAGCTGGAGGAAGAGCTGCGCCGGGCCGGCTCCCTGCGCGCCCAGCTAGAGGCGCAGCGACGGCAGGTACGGGCGGGGGCCTGGACCTGGACTGGGGTGGGGGCTTCTCTTGGCCGGCCGCTGACTTTAGCTCACCCTCAGCGTGGTGCTAAGTCCTTCCACCCAGCGTCTGCTCCCATTTTTATATAGAGGCCACACCCTTTAGGCCAGCCAGCTCCTCCCTAGGCTTGTAAGCCCCACCCCTTAAGCCTCCTCCAAGTTCCCTCAGCTGGTCCCTCTGGCTCCGCCCTTTCACCTTGTACTCAGTCCCTGCCCCTCCTTCCCACCCTGCTGTCCTCTCCCCTCTCCTCTGTTTAGGTTCAGGAATTGCAGGGCCAGCGGCAGGAGGAGGCCATGAAGGCCGAGAAATGGCTATTCGAGTGCCGCAATCTGGAAGAAAAGTATGAGTTGGTGTCAAAGGAGAAGGAGGTGAGGCTGAGGTCCCTCCACCCAAGCCCCACCCTGACCATCGTGGCAGAGCCCATTCCCTAGGACAGCAGTCCCCAACCTTTATAAGATTTTTTTTTAAGGGAACTTTATTATTTTTATTTATTTATGTTTTGGCTGCGTTGGGTCTTCGTTGCTGCACGCGGGCTTTCTCTAGTTGCGGTGAGGGGGGCTACTCTTCATTGCGGTGCGTGGGCTTCTCACTGAGGTGGCTTTTCCTGTTGCAGAGCACAGGCTCTAGACGCACGGACTTCAGTAGCTGTGGCACGTGGGCTCAGTAGTTGTATCTCACGTGCTTGGTTGCTCCGCAGCATGTGGGATCTTCCCGGACCAGGGCTCCAACCTGTGTACCCTGGATTCTTAACCACTGCGCCATCAGGGAAGCCCAGAAGTGCCCAACCTTTTTGGCACCAGGGACCGGTTTCGTGGAAGACATTTTTTCCACGGACTGGGGGTTGGGGGCAGTAATGCGAGCAATGGGGAGCTATAGGGAGTGGCAGACGAAACTTCACTTTCTTGCCCATCGCTCACCTCCTGCTGTGTGGCCCGGTTCCTAACAGGCCGCGGACCGGTACCGGTCTGCGGCCCAGGGGTTGGGGACCCCTATCCTAGGAGACCGATCCAGCCTCAAGTGGCCTGTTGCATCCCGTCCCTCCAGCGGCTGCTGGCAGAACGGGACTCCCTGCGGGAGGCCAATGAGGAGCTGCGCTGCGCCCAGTTGCAGCCTCGCGGGCTGACCCAAGCCGGTGAGTTGGAGGCCCATCCCAGGGCCTGGGAGATGGCTGGCCTGGCCTTACCTGGTCTGGTGTGCTGTTAGGGCAGGCAGAAAAGGCAGTGTCCCAGGGCTTGTCTAGGTTGGGGGCAGAGCTAGGCCACATTGGAGGGAGGCTAGAGTGGAAAGAGGTGACATGGGCTGACAGAAAGCAGGGACTGTGTATCGGAGCTCTGGGTGGGGCAAAGGCAAACCCAGGCCAAGGATCATGGCTCCTTGTCATGCCAGGGGTGGGGTTTGGGTCAAGTCAGGCTTTTGGCCGAAGTTGAACCCCCAAAGATGCTTCTCGGAAAGAGGATCCTAGGGATGGGGACAGAAACTGTGCAGCTACCTGAAGACTTTTCACACATTCTCCAGACCCTTCACTGGATCCCACCTCACCGGCTGTGGAAAACTTAGCAGCCGAGATCCTACCTGCGGAGCTCAGGTATCCTGGGGTCACTCAGAGCTCTGGCCCCACTGGGGCCTGCCAGTGCCCACCCTCAGCCCCGTCCCCAGTACAGGTATTTACCACTAGCCAGGCCTGCTCAACTTGGTTCCCAAGTCCTAGCCGGGCTTCTAGGCCCACTCACTCCTAATTCTGCTCTTACCTGGCCAGGGCTCTAGCCCTATTGGTGCCTCACCTCTTCAGGATCCGTCCTGAGTGCACAAATTAGATCCAACCCATCTGTCTCCACTCCCCAGGCAAAAATCCTTTGCTCCAGCCCTGCCCACATTGGGTTCTGCCCCCAGGATACAGCCCTGTCCTCAGTATATTCCCTGTTAGGTTCACTGCCCTGTGCGCTGCCCGTAAGAACTCCCACCCCAGCTTTTCACTTCTCAGTGTCTTACTTTACCGGCAGCCGCATCTCAGTGTTCTAACCCTCTCCTGTAGCCCCACCCTTCCCTGGCGCCACCCCTAGACCCAGCTCATGGCTCCGCCCACTTTGCCCCCCAGCCCCACCGGCGCTCCGCCCACCCATGCCTAGGCGCTGTCCCCTGTACTCTAACCCTACCCCAGGGTCTGGCTGGGCTCTTCCCCCAGGGCTCTATCCCTCTCCTGGCCGCGTCTGCCCAGTTTCCCTGCTGGAGCCTTGGTAGGCCTGAGTGGTGACCCATCTCCTGCACTGCTCACTCCTTCCCGGTCCGCAGGGAGACGCTCCTACAGCTTCAGCTGGAGAACAAGCGCCTGTGCCAGCAGGAGGCGGCCGACCGGGAACGGCAGGAGGAGCTGCAGCGCCACCTGGAGGAGGCCAACCGCGCGCGCCACGGCCTGGAGATGCAGCACCGGTGAGGACCCACCTGGCGGAGGGGGGCCTCTCACACGCTTGGCTGAGGGCGGGCGCAGGCACTAAGTGGGCCCCCCAACCCTGCAGGCTGAACCAGCAGCAGCTGTCGGAGCTGCGGGCCCAGGTGGAGGACCTGCAGAAGGCCCTGCAGGAGCAGGGGGGCAAGACTGAAGATGTGAGTGCCCACCTCCTCCCTGCCTGGCCCTCCTTTGTGTCCCCCAATAACCCTTCTCTCTCTTCCCCCTGCTGCCCGATGCCCTGTGAAGTCCATTGTAAGTACCTTGAGCCCAGGGTGGCACCCCCTACCCTCAGTCTGGAAAGAGGTTGGGACCTCTGGAGCCCTCACTCACCCAGTGCCTCTTCTCTCCTCCAGTCAACCCTGCTGAAGAGGAAGCTGGAGGAGCATCTGTGAGTCCCAGAGTGGGGGTATTCTTCGTGGGGGGAAAGGCTGGGGCAAAGGTGTGGGAGGTGGATCCGGTGTCGATGGGGAGTTCTTGATGAGGAAAGGGAGTCTGACGGGTCAGCTCAAGTGGGGCCTTATAGACTAAGGGAAGGCATATGGAATGTTTTGGGGGAACAATGGGGTGCCACAGAGGAAATTGCAACAAGGTTGTGTGACAAAGTAATAGTCACCTTTTACTTTTGCATTGTTAAAAAGGAAAGTTGTTTTTTTGTGTTTTTCATTTTTGGCCACACTGTGTGGCTTGTGGAATCTTAGTTCCCCAACCGGGGATTGAACCCGGGCCCACATCAGTGAAAGCTCCGAGTCCTAACCCCTGGACTGCCAGGGAATTCCCAAAAAAGGAACTATTAAAAAAAAAAAGAAAGAAAGAAACTATTTTAAATGGCTATCACATTTATAGTTTAAAAACCAAAATGTATACCGAGCTATACAGAAATAAAGGGTATACCTCTGAGTGCTCCCTCATTGACTCAGTTTCCACCCCATTCCACCCTCATTTCTATTAGTTTATTATGGAAATCCTTCCAGAATTTTTAAAGCAGATCCAAATGAATATGAATATAGATTTTTACTATCATTCCTTATTTACGCAAAAAGTAGTGTAATATGTGCACTTTGCTTTCCCTACTTAACAAGTTAACTGGAGAAATTTCTCCTTAAGAATAAATAAAGGAGTCCTTCTTATTTTTTTTTTCACATATAGCAGCCTTTGTCAACTGGGGTTCCATAGGGGAACTAGGCCTTACAGAAAATTATTTTCGTGACTATTTTCTCAGTTCTGCCAAGGATGCAATGAAGCTAAGGCCGACCTGGAACACAGCAAGTTATTTCCTTACAGAGGATGGATACCTGGAGGCATTAGGGCTTAATTCTCCTGTAGAATTCTGGTCCAGAAGGTCTGGCCTATAGCATTTTTTGTAATATCATAATGTGTTTAACTCATTCTTTCTAGGTATTTGCAATTTCAAGCAATGTAACAAAGTAAACCTTGTATAGGCATCATTTTGCTTGTGTGCAAATATACACAAAAATGCAATGGGTAGCTCCCAGGGTACATGCCTTTGTAATTTTAGTAGACATAGCCAGAGGTTCACTATTAGATGTTACACCATGTTCCATGTCCGACACATGATAATAGTCTCACCTACAGGAATCTTTGGGGTTTTGCCACAGGTGGCAGAACTGTCAATTATTAGCTTGCATTTCCTTTCCTGTTTTAAAAATGTTTAAAAGTTTTAATTTATTTTTGGCTGCGTTGGGTCTTTGTTGCTGCACGCGGGCTTCCTCTAGTTGCAGCAAGTGGGGGCTACTCTTTGTTGCAGTGCGTGGGCTTCTCATTGCGGTGGCTTCTCTTGTCATGGAGCACGGGCTCAGTAGTTGTGGCTCGTGGGCTCTAGAGCACAGGCTCAGTAGTTGTGGCGCACGGGCTTAGTTACTCCACAGCATGTGGGATCTTCCTGGACCAGGACTCGAACCCGTGTCCCCTTCATTGGCAGGCAGACTCTTAACCACTGTGCCACCAGGGAAGTCCCATATTTCCTTTTGTTTTATAAGAGATTTGCATTCCAGAAAGATACCTGGCTGCTGGGTAGAGAATGGAACTGAGGGGTTGAGAGTAGAGGGGGCTGGCAAGGGATGATGGTGCCTGGACCAGCGAGTGGGCTGTGGAATGGGGAGAAGTGGACAAATGGGAGGGCTGGTCCAGGGCCCATCTGATGAGGGGTGTAGAGGGTTGGGACTCTGATGGCTGAGGAGATGGTGGGGCCAGCGCACATAACCCCCAGGCTTGGGGTCAGGCAGAAAGGTCTGCAGGGACACTTCTGGCTGGCTGGGAAGGCTGTGGCCACCACTAGGAGAAAAGAAATAGGCCCAGAGCTCAGCCTACTGCTGCCGGTCCCCTGCCCGCAGGCAGAAGCTGCATGAGGCAGATCTGGAGCTGCAGCGGAAGCGCGAGTACATCGAGGAGCTAGAGCCCCCTGCCGATAGCAGCAGTGAGTGGGACTGGGTGGCCGGCTGGGTGCAGGGAGCCCCAAGCTTGGCACAGAGCTGAGGGGCCACCTGTTCCCCCAGCAGCCCGGCGTATCGAGGAGCTGCAGCACAACCTGCAGAAGAAGGACACGGACTTGCGGGCCATGGAGGAGCGGTACCGCCGCTACGTGGACAAGGCGCGCACAGTGAGGACGGGCGCTGGGTGCCCTACACGCCTTCTGCCGAGGCTGCTGCCTCCCATTGGTTCATGCCTCCTGCCCCCACACCTGTCATATCTAATCATGTCACAGACTTTTACACCACGGCCTGTGAGGCCAAGGTCACCCTGGCTGTGTCTTCCCCAACCCCTAGGTCATACAGACCCTGGAACCCAAGCAGCGGCCACCTGGGGGGGCTCCTCCGGAACTCCACACCCTGAGGACACAGCTTCGAGAGCGCGATGTCCGCATCCGGCACCTGGAGGTGGGTGTCCTTGTCCCTTCTCACTGTCCTCAGCATATCCAGGTCCTTGACTATTGCCTCCTTAGCAGATGGACTTTGAGAAGAGTCGAAGTCAGCGAGAGCAGGAAGAAAAGCTGCTCATCAGTGCCTGGTATAATATGGTGAGTGCACCGTTGCCATGGCTGAAGTATTGGGTGGGCATGGCGGTCCTGTGGGCTCACCTGACCCCAACTATGCCCCTCCCTCCAGGGCATGGCTCTGCAGCAGCGAGCCGGGGAAGAGCGGGCACCTGCCCATGCCCAGTCATTCCTGGCACAGCAGCGGCTGGCCACCAATGCTCGCCGCGGACCCCTGGGACGCCTAGCACCCCTGAACATGCGCCCCACTGACAAGCATTGATGGATCTCAGGATCCTGCCACCTGTCCAGCCAATCAGGGCTTAATCCACCCTGGATTCCCCTGACTCACATGGGGCCCAGCATTATGCCTCAGCCAGTTGCTTGAGAGCCTTGAAGTCATAATCTCTGCCCTTTTCTCTCCCAGGTGGGACGAGAGTGCAGGATGAGGCGGGAGGCAGGAATGGGCCTATTCTTTTTAGCAATGTGATTCTTATTCTTGATTTTAGTGAGCTGCCAGGGGAGAGAGTGATTTTATATTTGAGAAGAAAGATAATAAAGACTTTCAATCTGACCTGGCTGGACTCTGGGCTCTGAGGGGAGGGAGAGAAGGTAGGCCAGGGGCTCAGGTCACTGCTTTTAAGAAAATCCTAGCTTGTGTTCTTACTAAAGTGTGAGTGACCGATAGCACCCCGTAGGAAGTTTGAATCATGTTTGTATCTGTGTAACTGTATGTGTGTGTGGTGGGTTTTGAAGAAGCTTCAGACAAAAATCCCTACCTCAGGAAGCTGTCAATTCCAATGGAGACAGATAATAAACAAAATAGATAAAATATTTGATGTGAGAAGTGCTACAGAGAAAAATAAAGCAGACAAAGTCATGGGGATGCAGGAGGTGGATTTGGGAGGTGGTGATTTTTTTTTTTTTCTTTGCGGTACGTGGACCTCTCACCGTTGTGGCCTCTCCCGTTGCGGAGCACAGGCTCCGGACGCGCAGGCTCAGCGGCCATGGCTCACGGGCCCAGGCGCTCCGCGGCACGTGGGATCTTCCCGGACCAGGGCACGAACCCGTGTCCCCTGCATTGGCAGGCGGACTCTCAACCACTGCGCCACCAGGGAAGCCCAGGTGGTGATTTTTAATAAAAGGCCAGGAAATGAGGCCTCACCAAGGAAGTGACAGAATTTTTTATTTTTTTATTTTTTGCGGTACGCGGGCCTCTCAACGCTGCGGCCTCTCCCGTTGCGGAGCACAGGCTCCTCACGCGCAGGCTCAGCGGCCATGGCTCATGGGCCCAGCCGCTCTGCGGCACGTGGGATCCTCCCGGGCCGGGGCACGAACCCGCGTCCCCTGCATCGGCAGGCGGACTCTCAACCACTGTGCCACCAGGGAAGCCCTGAAGTGACATAATTTAAGCAGAGACCTGCAGGAGGTGAGGGAGGGACCATGTAGGTATCTGGGGAAGAGTGATCCAGGCAGAGGGAATAGCACGTGTAAAGGCCCTGGGACGAGACCTTGCTCGGTGGGTTAGAGGAACAGTGAGGAGGCCAGTGTGGCTGGAGTGGAGTGAGTGAGGGGAAGAGTGGAGAGAGTCAAGACCAGGCAGACTGTCCAGGGCCTTGTAGGGTGTGTGGATTACTTTAGCTTTCATTCTAAGTGAAGTGGGAGCCACAGAGTGTTCTAAGCAAAGGAGCGACATGACCTGATTCAAGTTGTCACAGGCTCCCTTTGGCTCCTATGGGAGAAACAGACTGCGGGGGTGTCAGGGCCAGAGCTGAGAGACCAGGTCACTCGTCCAGGTGGGTGGTTGGGTGATAGGGCTCTGGCCGGGGTGTGGACCCTGGAGGAATGGGAAATGGTTGGATTCTGGATACAGTTTGAAGACTAAGCTGATGGGGTTTGCTACTGGGTTGATAAGGAGAGGGGATGAAAGAAAGGAGTTGAAGGTGACTCCCAGGTTTTGTCCTCATCATCTGGAAGGACAAAGCTGACAGAGGTTGGGACAGGTGGGGAGCTGATAGGTTTGGGGGCATGTTATGTTCGAAGTGCCCGTGAGCTCCCCACATGCAGATGTCAAGCAGGAAGTTGGCTCTCTGGGTCTCGAGTCAGGGGAGGGATCCTGGCTGGACTTCTAAATTCGGGAGTCACCTACATACGATTGATGTAAGACCTAGAGCACTGAAGGGGTATCTGAGAGTGCAGGGGCTTGAGGCAGAGGGGTCACTTGCAGAAGCATAAATCGAGGCTGGCAGGGGAATTCCCTGGAGGTCTTGTGGTTAGGACTCCGCGCTTTCACTGCCTTGGGCCCGGGTTCGATCCCTGGTCGGGGAGCTAGGATCCCGCAAGCCGCGTGGCAAAAAAAAAAAAAAAAGAAGAAGAAAAGAAAAAGAAAAACGCTGGCAGGAGAAAGCTATGGTCCTTGGACCGTGGGTCCTACATTGATGAATGAGTAAAGCCCTGGGCACTAATGGGGCCATTTCAGAGAGAATTTGGGAGGAAGTGGGCAGGGCATCATCAAATAATCTGGAGGATCCCTTAAAGCTTACTTAGCATAAATGCCTGGCAGGAGTTGAGTAAAAACAAACAAACAAAAAAACACTAAAAGTTTATTGAGCACCTATTATGTACCAAACACTTTAAAGCCACATTTCATTTCATCCTCACAGCGCACTGAGGTGGGCACTCATATGTCCAATTTGAGGAAAGAAGAAAGGCAAGGCACACTGATAAAAACTCTCACGCAGTGGCGGGTAGGAAGTAGAGCTGGTGGTAAGGACCGACAGTTCAAAGATGCTGGAAGAATACCCTGCCCTCAGTGCAGTGCCTGGCCCACAGGAGGCGCTCCAAGCCTCTGTGCCAAACGTAAAGGCGGGACGCAGGCAGGTAAGCGGGCAGGCGGAGTCCACAGGCAGCTTATAAAGCCCAAACCACTGCTTGCGGGCGGTGTTGGGGCATTTTCTCTATCCTTGGGGATCCAGGGTCCAAGGGTCTCAGGTTAGACTCTCCTCCTCCTCGCCAATGGGGCTGGGCAGCCAGGGTGGAGCCGGCCCCCGGGGCCCGGGCATTGGCACAACGGTGAAGGGCTCGGCGGGTGGCTCGGGGGCTGGCGGCTCGCGGCCGGCGTGGGGCTCAGACTCCGGCTCCAGCAGGCCTAAGGGTAGCAGCGCGTCACTGCCACTGCACTCTGGGGCCGCGCCATCAGGGGCGCCCGCGCATGCGCAGCTGGCGGCTGTGGATTCCTCCGACACGCAGCTGTTCTTGCGGCGCAGTAAAGACAGGCGCCGGCCCAGCAGGCCTCCAGCGGCCATGCCCGCGCCCACCGGCAGGAGGCGCTGCAGGAAGTCGCCGTGTGCATTGCTCAGCGGCGCATCCACGCCGTCCTGCCGCTGGAACTGCATGTCCTCCTTGGGCAGCCTGCGGAAGAGACAATGGGTCAGTGCTGCGGCCTCTCCCTTCTTCATCAACAGAGTTGGGACCGAGGAACACTGCTTTTCCACCCCATTGTCCCACTTATCCCAAAAGACCTTGGCTCCTCACCGGAGAGCCTGGCCTTATCCTCTGGCTCTGGCTATGCTCAAACTTAGGCCTCAAAAGGCTAAGTTGGGGCCCTGCCGCCTGTCCTTTGGTATCGCTTCTGGCCCGTCCAGTCCTCATAGACTGTAGCCCTTAGCTCTGCCCCCAGTTAGTGGCCGGGTCCCAGACCTTGACCCGGATCCCTGACCCCTGACCCGTCCTAGTCCTCATGACTTTAGCTCTTAGCCCCGAATCTCCAGGGTGTAGCCTTTAGCCCCGACCTGGTCACCCAGGGGTCACCCACAGCCCCTTCAATCAGATACACCCCGCAGTCATGAGCCCCTCCCCCAAGAGGCCCCGCCCATCCCCACTGGCTCACGTGATGTCGAAGGTGGAGCCCTGGAAGGAGGGCTGCTGCAGCAGGAAGGCGGTGGCAGCGGTGTAGGGAGCGCGAGCCTCAGCTGCGTCCCAGTATAGGTCCTTCTCCAGCATGGCCAGGTCGTCGTACATCTCGTCCACGGCCAGCATTGACACCTGCGGGCGAGGATACGCGGGGAAGAGTGGGCATGGAACAGCGCCGGCACCGAAGGGTGGACCCCTCTGGACGGGTAGGAGTGTGGTGACCAAAGAGAAGGATGGATCAGGGGCGATGTCTGAGCGAGTCTTAGCAGGGGTGGGGCCAGGGCCGCTTTGGGAGCCCAGAGATGGTCTTAACCGAGAGAGTCTCACTTGGAAGTTGCGGTCGATCAGAAAGTTGGTCTCAAAGTCATCGTCGTCCTCTCCGAAGGGGTTGATGAGCTGCTCAGCTACCTGAGTGGGTAAGAGGAGAGGTAGGTGGAGAACTGAAAACCCCTGCCCGCTCCACCCCTGGAGTCCTGGCCTTGGGGCCCCACCCACCTTGAGCCAGCCCGCGTAGAAGAAGAACTGCAGCAGGGTGAAGATGGGTACGCACAGGTCCAGGTCGTGGTCTTTGTAGCCCTGCGCCGGGTCCAGGAACTGGCGACCGATGAGGCAGGCCAGGAAGTAGCTGTACACAGCGATGGTCACCACCTGGGGGAGGGGCAGGACGGAGTGCTAATTCAGGGTTCTCTGGGCCTTGGGGGGTCATGGAGAGACCAGAGCTAGGATCGCGAGTCACTGTGATGGGGTCTTAGCTGGCCCTCAGTTTCTCCTTGAGACCAACGCTCCAGGGCCTCTGACGCGGGATATAAAGAGGCACGGCGGGGTTACCTGGGTGTAGACAAGGGGTACGCTAATCCAGTCGTAGTGAAAGAGCATCCCACACTTGGCCCGAAACACAGTCAGCTCCTGGAGGCAGATACACGTCATGAGGGGGCCTGAATAGTGAGCTCACACATGGGGATTAAGTTGGGGGGGTGTACCTGGGATGGGGGTGAGTGGTCACCTGGTGGGAGGCGGGCGTGTGCTTCTAGGGACTTCAGGGAGAGTATTTAGTGGTGAGTGTACACCTAGGAGTACTATGCACCTAGGAGCCGCCCCATAGAGATTTAAGTGTACACCTGGGGGCTGCTAGATAAGGGTGGTTGGGATCCGCCTTGTGGGAGGCGCATGGCAGACACACAACCTCAGGGTGCGTGGGGTACAATTTCCCTGGTATTTGATATGAGTGACCACCCGGAGAGCCCACCTCCAGCAGCAGCTTAAGGGCGCCGTTGTTGCGGATGCGGCCCTCGCGCTGAGCCTGCGCCGCCAGGTTGGAGAACCAGACGCAAGGCACCCAGTACTTGTTGTAGGATGAGTTCAGGTTCTCGAACTTCTTGCGCTCCTCGCGGGTCATAAACCCTGGAGGGGCGAGGTCGGGGGTTATTTGCCCCACCCTCAGTCTTTGCGCCCCCCCGCCCCACCACCACCCGCGTTCCTTTTGGCCGGAGCCTCACCTGCTTCCACCACATGGTCTATGGTGGGGAAGCGCTTGAAGACAGCGGTGCTGACAGAGCGCAGGATAAGCACAGCAGAGAGTCCTGCATAGCGCATGAGCGTGCGTCGGTAGAGGCGGCCGCGCTCGTCGCGCCCGTGCACTGTGCCGACCACCACGCACATGAGCGCGTCGGGCAGGGGCATGCATAGGTACTGATTCCACCAGCGGTGCACCACCAGCGTTACGTAGAAGCCTGCGGGAGAGCCGGGAATGGGAGACTCAGTTGGGACACTAGGGCCAGGGGTTTGGGGTCCCAGGTCATGGGAAGAGGAGTGACATAGGGTCTTCATCAGGAACATGCGGTAGGCTGGATACCCAGACCATGTGGGGCCACCTGAGCTGGGAACCTGGAGATTCAGCCCTGAGGTCAGTCCAGGCTGGATCACCCTGGCTACTTGGATGTCACCTGGGATGGGAGATTAGGATCTCCGTGTAGAGGTGGAGACAGAGGGCCCACAGGCAGGTTGTCACCAAAGCCACAGGGAGCCCCGGAGCCAGGGATGTGTGAAGGGGTTGGGCATGGTGTCTAAGTCAGGGAACCTGGGGCAGGCTGGTCACCCCATCCTTGTGGGCCCAGAATGGTGGGAGGAAGGCTGAGGTCAAGTGAAGTCACTGAGGACAAGGAGCTGGGACTTGTCAGAGTCCCTTGCCCCTCAGGCTGGACTTGAAAGGAGGGAGTCATGTGGGGCTCTTGGATGGGGGTCCCTGGGGCTCAGTACATGTGAGGGGAGGCACTAGTAATCCCATGCAGACACAGATGGGAGTCCCTGAGTTGACCAGGGATAAAAGCCTATGCATGACACGGAGTTCTCATTGGGGGCACCTCAGGGGACCCTCTGACCAGATGACATACAAGGTCTCAGGAATTGGGGCCATACTTGGCCTAAAGGACGCAGAAATGGGGATTTGTGGGGGGGTGGCTTTGATGGGGGGGGGCGTCTCAGAAAGGCAGGAATGGGAGTCTCCAAAAGGCATGAATGGCAATGGGTTTCTCAGGATGAAGGGAATGGGGAACTCAGGAGCGCGAACGCACCGAGCACAAAAGAGACCGGGATGAGACTGGCGTACTGGTCGCAGTAAAGAACGAGCTTCTCAAAGTAGCGCTTCTGCTCTTCGGTCAGCACGAAGCTGCGAGGGAGGGGGCGCGGGATCACGGGCGAGCCCCGGTCCCCAGTTGCAGGTCTCCCTTCCAGCACCTCCTCCGGGGCCGGCCCGCAGCCCTCCCCAAACGCCCCCACTCCGGCCGGCCCTCCCCCCTCTCCCGGGGCCGCCTCACCGATAGGCGGCACTCAGCGCCATGTAGAGCCCAAGGAAACACAGCAGCTCGCGCCACAGAAGTTTGTAGATGCTCCCGCGCCACAGCAGCAGCAGCTTCGAGAAGCCGCCGAAGCGCGCGTTCGCCACGCAAGCTGTGTACGTGACAGTCATCGCGGCGCCCGGGCCGGTCAAGCCCAAGGAGAGGGGGCTGGACCGGACCCGGGATTGGGGGCCGAGGAATGGGGGGCCGGGCCGGGCTGGAAGGCTGCTGGCGAGGGTAGAAAGGTGCGGGGACGACTCAGCTCCGCGTCACTTTCCACGCCCGGCCACCTCCTCGGTACCGGCTCTGGCTCAGCTTCCCGTCCCCTCCCACCTGCTCAGTCCTGCCCTAGCCCCCAGCCCTCCTCCCCAAGGCCCTCTGGCAGGCCACTCCCTTCCTTGGACTCCAGGTCCCAGCGTCCGGCGCCGACCTCCCCAGGCCCTCTCCGTTCATCCCCCACCGCCAAGGCCCTTGGTCCACCGAGTTAACCCGAGCTGCCCGCTCTGATCCCATACCCCTTACCTGGACGCCATCTACAGCCTCTCCCCCGCTCCCCGAGTCCCTAGCGCCTCAGTTTCTATGTTCCCGGGGCTCCAACTGACTTCCTTCCCTCAAGTCCCACTTCTGCTTTCCCTCCCCCTACTCCCCTAACCCAGTCTCGGCCCATTCTCTCCCCTGCACTTCCTTTTGAAGCCCTCCAAAGCCAGATCCCCAAGCTTCCAGGCCCCAGGTCCTCCCCCACAGCCCCTCAGCCTCAGGCTGGCTCCGTCTCCTGCACAGCTGCCCCAGCCTATCCCCCTCCCACTTAATCGAACTGGCTCTGCCCCCTCCCTCTTCTGGATCCACCTAGACCTTTCCTCTGTCCATTCCCCTCTAGCCTTCTGAGCCCTCCAACCCTACCCTGAGGACTCAGATTCTTGCCCGCAGACCGACTCGTCCTCAAGGTTCCCTATTCCCCCAGGCCTGGGTCCTTCTCACCTGGTGGCTGGTTCAGGGACACTCAGGGACAGGGAAAGGACGGGCTTCAGGGTTGGGTGGGGCTGAAGCCAGATTCTGTGAGGGAGGGGGCTGGGGAGTGGGCGTGGGTGGCCCCTCCCTGGCCCTCCCCCCTCAGTTGCAGCCTCAGAACTTTGAAGTCTCATCAGTTTGTTACCTGGGGCAGGGGGTGGGGAATTCACCTTGTCCTCCTTAGCTCCTTCCTGTCCAGTCTCCCAGTCAGTCACTGGCAGATCCAAGAAATCTTGGACCTAGACCTGGGGGAGGGGGCAGGAACCCTGTCTTTACCAGACCGAGACATATACACACACTGCTCAGTGAGTCTGGGTCGCTCCACACTCACCTGTAATCACACACAAAGACGCACCTAGAAACACACACCATAGACCCAGACACAAATTCAGCTTTCCTCAACACAGCCTCCCACGACCACGGTGACCCAGAAAGCAGTACGCACTGGCACAAAGACTTCCAGAGTCACCAAAGAGACAACACTTAGCCCCCCACCCCCATACGCAGATATAAAGCAGATGGACCCTAACCCACCAGGCTCTCAGCTCTCAGGCACCCACATAGTGCTCCAAACAGCCACCCAGGAAAACAGGGGCAGGGACCCAGGCACCCTGAATTCCTTCATGATCATACTATGTAATAGAGACACACGCAAGGTCACACAACCAGCCAAGTGCAGACCCCAGCCCGACCCCAGAATGCCTTCACACGTGAGCCATCACACAGAGGGAGGTAGCAGACATTTATTCCTGATCTCCCCTGCACAAAAACACACCATGGCCACACACCAGATGCAGGAGCACAGCAGCACACAGTCCTGGGGTCAGAGCCGGGTCCTAGGGAGTCCCTTTGATATGCCAATGTAGCAAAGACACACTCATACAACATCGACCCCTCCCAACAGTCCCACAGACCCAGAGGGTCACGTCCAGATGGAGTCAGGCCATAACCCCTCATGAAACTCACCTGCATTCATTTGTACATCAATACGTAAGACACACGCTCCTCAACACCCCTTCACTGCGGGCGGCGACGGGCAGGCACACACACACCCTGGGTCTCAAACACTTTGGGCGTTGTCATGAACACACAAGCTTAGGGACACAAAACCTTGTCTCCACATTTGGCATGGATACAGGACAGATGTTCTCCCTTTACAGACACACCTACAAAGGGGGCACTCTAGCCTGGCACAAACAACCCTCCATCTTCACCATTGAATGCATAGCCCAGTGTGGGAGGGGCAGTTGCTCAGGGTTTCAGCTCCAAGAGGGGTGCCCTGGGGCGCCCCTGAGCCTCTCAAGTCCACTCCAGCACCAGGAGTGCACATGGCTCCGCTCGACCCTGCACCCGAAGGTCTGGCCAGCCAGGACGCAGTGTTCCTAACCTGGCAGGTGTCTGCCCAGCCCGGGGTAGTTAGGAACCAGCTCGGGCTGGCTGTACTCGGACCTGTGCCTCTGCCGTCCAGCTGCTGGACAGCACATCAAAGAGGATGAGGGGTGATGCTGCTAGCTACGGGAACTGGGGAGGGGACAGGCTTCAGGTTGATGGGCTCCATACCTGACCAGAGGCCCCTATTCCCCTGGATGTATCCTCACATGCTGCAGCCAGCCCTCCCCTCCACAGCCCCCATCGACCCCTGTGCGCATCTCCCCTCCTCCAGCTCACTGTCCCCACATACTTCTGACTGCTTAACCCGGGCTGGGGCAGAGGCGGGTTGCCCAGGCTAGTTCACATGCTTACTAATTGTTACAGTGAATAGTAACAAATAGACCTTGGCAGGTACATGCCTGGGGCCACTGTAAAGGCGTTACCTATTTCATTTCATTGTGTCCTCAAAAGCAGGAAATGTGAAGTTTGTGCTCCTTATTCCCGCTATCAAGGTAGGGAAACTGAGGCTCAGAGGACGCACAGTCTGTTCATGGCACAGCTAGGATCTGAACCCAGGCAGTTTGGTTCGGAGCCTGGGGTCCTGCCGTGGGCTGCACTGCCATGTTCGTTTACAAGCACCTCCTCAATGTGGGTGTGCCCACATGGGTTTGTGTACACCTGACTGAACTGGGGGGACACGTCTAGGCTCGTGGTTGCATTCCCCTCACACACACACCCTGGCACGCCTAGACCCTGGGTGTGCACTGTCTGAACACCACTTCCTGACTCATGCATATCCTTAGTCACCCCCTTTCTCCCGCCATCCCCATCCAGCTCCAGCTTGGAACTTGCAAACGCCCAAGGTCATGCCAGTCCTGGGTCTTGGGGATGACCGTGACTGTCCAGGCAGTGGCAGAGGGAGGAGTGAAGGAGAGAAGGGGTGCTGCTTTATGCCTTTCCGGCTGGTTTGCTAACCCTTCCAGGGTCAGGTGAATTTGTGCCATGGCCCTATGAATGGCCACACTTCTGTCTCCATTTTAGGAATACGGGGACTGAAGCTCAAACTGCAGGAAACAGGCGGCAGGCCACTCAGTGAGGCTGCTCTGGGGGCAGGACAGGACTTCAGGGCCCGTCCAGCCTGAGTCCTTTGTCATCCTGCCCCTTAATCAGCCCCCCTGTTGCAGCCCTGTGCTGGGAGGGGCTGAGGCCATTCCATGTAACAGGAATTGGGAGGTGGGGGTGGAAACTGTTAATCCGCAGTCTGGCAGGCCCAGCCTCTGCCCAGGGTGCCCACTAATTCCCAAACCAAACAGCAGGCAGTGCTGGGCCCGCTGCCGACCTAATCCGCTCCCCACCAGCCTGGAGCTGGCCAAGGGGCCTCCCCGTTCCCACGCTCTGAGCCTTGAAGGAAGTGGGCAGATGCCCCTTTCTTCTACTCCAGGCTTTACAGCCCCAGAGGACACCCTTACCCATATAGAGCTAGAAAAAGGCACCCCTTTACAGAAGAACCCTCCTTCCAAAATTACCACAATAAACACACATCTCTATTAGGTCTCTGTTGTGAGGGACCTAAACATACATCTATGCCTCTCTGGATGTGACATCTTTGTGCAGTGTACAACCTTTGCAACTGTACATGGAGGTACTAGGCCCCAACCCCACCATGTCAACATCCACAGTAGTTTAAGATCATTTTATTGAGGGAGGAGAGGCGGGGAGAGGTGCGGGGGCAGCTACAGCTCCCCCAGCCCCACCAGGGGGAAAAGACCCCCTCCCCGCCTCCCTTCCCCCAAGTGGTTCCCCTGTATTATGGGGGAACTTTGTGCAAACTCTGCCCCGGTGGGTGGCGGCTGAGTGTGAAATGGCAGCAGCTGGGGCTGGTGGTGGTGCTACTGGGCACTGGGGGGCTTGTAGGGCTCCAGGAGAAGAGCAGAGAAGGTGTTGACCTTGTCCGCCCCCCGAACCTCATGGGGCAGCAGTGGCAGCTTCACAATGTGGAAGTCTTCATATAGGTCCTCCATCTGCGGCAGGGGTAGAGGGCAGAAGGCAGCAGGGCCACAGGGCAGGGACAGAATGTGATCAACTTAAAGGGTCAGGCTAAGGGTCTCCCAGAGTCAGGGAGAGAATATGAGCAAGGGCTTCACAGGGACATAGGTGGGAGTGGCGCCAGTGAGGTCAGAGACCACTGGGCTGGACCTCCCACTCCCCAGGGTGAGAGGTATCTAGGCCAGGCCAGCCAGTCTATGAAGGCCAGAATCAGAAGGTCTGAAGCAGTGGGTGAAGGGCAGGGGGTTGGGGCGAGGAACAGAAGGTGGGCTGGAGCAAAAGGTCAGAGAATACAGTAAAAGGTCAGCAGTGCCTTGGCTGGGCTGGGACGGACCCCAGCTTCCAGGGTCAGAGCTATGAGGGCTGGGCGGGAGGGTGGGTGTGCGCACCTGGTCCAGGTACTTGGCCTGGATCTTGTGGCGGGCCTCACACATCTTGCAGGGCTTCTCGGGATCAGGGAAGACGAGTTGGTTGACAATGATGTTGTGCGTGTCGATCTTGCACTTGGCCAGCTCCTGGATCAGCCGCTCCGTTTCATACAGGGACAGGAACTCAGCAATGCACACACAGATGAAGGTGGTTTGCTCCTGCAGGATCCAAGACAGGACAGGGAGGGGCAGATTTCAGCCCTGTCTCTTTCCCCTGAGCTTCTCGCCGCCCGCCTGGACCGCAACTCACAGGGTCCTTGAACTGCTCACTGACGGAGCGGATGACAGGCAGCGTCTCCTCCAGCTTGGAGGCCAGCTGGTCTGCGTTCATGTCCCCGAGGCCCAGCATGTTGCACATCTGTGGGGACGATGTGAGAGGGCTCATGGTTTACCTGGGGCACATTATACTCCCTGGGTTGGGCTCACTAGATACCCGGGGGACGACTCCTGACACCTCCCAGTGGTTAAAGGTGTGGGCCCTTGAGCAGATCGCAGGGGTCCAACCCTAGCTCTGCCATTTCTGCGGGACTGTGGCCAGGTTAGCTTGACCTCCCAGAGCCTCAGTTTCCTCATGTGTAGAGCTGTTGTGCTGTATGACATGTCACGTGCTTGGAACAGTGTCTGGCACACAGTAAGGGCCCCACAAATGTGACTGAGGCACAGGTCCCCGCCGGGGGACCACACACAACCAAGGAGGTGTCAGTGGCGTGCAAAAGTGTGACGGCATCAGGGTTGTCATGTTGTGCTAATAGTAACCCATGGGGGGATTCGCATGCTCTCCATTTGACAGATAAGGCCCAGAGAGGGGAAGTGACTGGAGGTCACACAGCTGTGTCACACCAGAGTGCAAAGCGTTTGAACCCGGGCCATCTGGCTCTGGGATATGTGCTTTCAAGCTCTGTCTGGGGCACTCAGCGGGTGGAGGCAGGGACACTGGGTGCTGTGGAGTAGGGGGGACGGTTCCCCCGCAGTGAAGATCCATCCCATCCATTGGGAAGCGCTGACTGAGAGCATATGTGGGAAATGCCTTTGTTTTTGCACATCTTGGGGTCCGGGGGCCCACTCTGATTCAGGGGACTCCTGGATGCCCTGGGGCTCTGCCTGCCTGTGAGATGAAGGGGCTGATCTGGTTCTTGATCTGCATGAGGCGGCCTAGTCCCCGCTCGACGATGGTGGGGAAGTTGAGCAGTCTTAGCGTGTGGCCTGTGGGCGCTGTGTCGAACACCACCACCGAGAAGTTCATGCCCTTCACCAGCCTGTGGGGAGATGAGGATCAGGCCCGCTCTGCCCCCTCTTCCACCCTAGCCCCAGGCAGCACCGGGCACCCAGAGTCCCCGCCGGGCCTGACCTCATGACCTCTGCATAGCTCATGGCCTCATCGATGCCTGGGAAGGCGCTCATGGCTTCCTGCATCATCTTCTTGCCCATGCTCAGCATGTTGTCCTCCTCAAAGAACTCGTCCGGCAGCTCCGCCACACCCAGGCTGGGGTCAATCTCCTGGGGGCCGAGAGGGTCAAGACTCAGGCTGCTGTTGCTGGAGCCTTCCCACCTGGGCACGGAGCCCGAGGGAGCCTGTGGGGTGCCCTGAGCACAGCCCTTCACCAGGTCACAGCTGGGGAGACCTCTGAGGTGCCCTGGCCCTTCCCTTAGGCGCTTAAGGTCTCGGGTGGTGGCACAGATTGTTAAAGTCTTTCACAAGCAGATGGAAAATCGCCAACTGTGCTCAGTGTCCCAGAGGGAAGCCAGAGTGCGTTGCAGTGCCTTCTCACGGGCTGTTCCCCCACCCGGGCCTGTGGCCTCTTCCAGATCATTCCTCTAACATGAGTCATCCCTGACCGCCCAATCTAACAGTGCAGCCCTAGCCCCCTCTGCCCTGCCTTCCTTTCTTCTTAACATCTGGCCTCTCCTCACATGGTTTACTTAGCATGTTTTTCGCCTGTCTCCCCAACCAGAATGCTGGCCCCACAAGGGCAGGGGTTTTTCTGTCTTGTTTACTGCTGTGTCCCCAGTGCCTGGAAGTGTCTGGCACAGAGTAGGTCCTCAACATGGATGCAGATTCCATGAAGGGGATGACCAAGCCTGCGGTCCCTGGCCCGTCCTGCACTCATTGCCTCTCTATCTCCCGCCTGTCACCTCTTCTACTTGAATTCATGTTTCCTGTGGCGAAGCCCTCCACTCCCTGGCCTCAGAGGTCATTTCCCTGCAGGGAGCTTGTCCACACATCACCCCCCCACAGTCACACCCTTGATGGGTTGTTCCTAGTCACCAGGCCACTCTCTGACCCCAGCCTTCTCACTTCCTGTTATTCTAGACCTTCCTGGGCCACCTCATCCCCGCACCTCTGCCCGCTTTTTCACCGTCAGTGTCCCTCTTGGGCGGCACTCTTATCCAGCCCAGTCTCCACAAGATGCCTCTGCAAACACTCCCTTCTCCCTCTGTGGTTGGCAAAAGCCCCATCCTGTTTATTCACAGCTCGCTGGCATGGCTACACCAAGGTGAACATCAGGGGAACATCCCAGACGAAGAACTCAACCTTGCTCCCCATTCCTGATCACAAGTCTCCAACAGGCATTCGACGAGCCAGAAAATCCACCCATGGGAATGTTAATGCCATATCTTCTCCCTGCTCAAACCCCTTCTGGCCCGTGTGTCCCTCACCCTCTGCTGAGGCCTGTGCCTCGCCTGTGTCTCAATGAGAAAGCGAAGCCACTGGCTGCCTACACCCTCATTTCCTCCCAGGAAACGCCCCAGTCCCCCTACATTCCTTCTAAGCCCCTGGTCCTGGCAGAGCCCAAGTCCTGGGTCTGTGCGCTGGAGTGAGCTCACACCTGCCTGAGGCCCGTCCTCAGCCGGCATCCTCACTCCTTCCTGCAGTATCACTTGTCCCTCCCAGTTGAAGCTTCCCCCCACCCCCTCGGCTGCACCGCGCAGCTTGTGGGATCTTAAGTTCCCTGACCAGGGGTTGAACCTGGGCCCTTGGCAGTGACAGCCCAGGGTCCTAACCACTGGACCACCGAGGAATTCCCTGAAGCATGTGCAGCAGCAAACAAACATGCTCTAGCATCTCCTTCCTCAGAAAAGCCTTCCTTAACCCTCATTCCCTTCTCCCTCCAGGGATGGCCATGCTCATTTCTCTGCTCCCATCATGGTGATCATTGTGTCCACCTCAGCTCACCCATTCCAGGCAGGCTTCTGCCCCCATTTCCAGGGTGATCTGCTTAAAACTCATGTGCCTGCTAGAGCCGACAACCTTTCTGCCCTAGTCCCTTTGTCCTCCTGGAGCTTAGGAGCCCACACTCTCTGGCTTTCCTCCCACCTCACCTGTGGCTCCTTCTCGGCCTCTTTCAATGGTTCTTCCTCCTCCTCTGCTGGACCCTAAATGCTGATGTGCCCCCGGGGTTGTTTCTGGGCCTCTCTATTCTTTCACATGCTCCTCCACTCACACAGCTTTAAATACCACCCTTGGGACAATGACTCTCAAATCAATGCCAACCTCCTCTGAGCTCTAGGTTCACATAACTAAGCTGCTGTCCTGATGTCTCCACTTGGATGACCAGTGGGCACCTTGGTCTCACTGTGGCCAAATAAAATTCCTGACGTTTGGTCTTCTAAACCTGCTCCTCTCCCAGTCTTCCCCACCTCAGCTGCCCAGGGAGATAACCAAGACATGTACTTATGCTTAATTCATTTTTTTCTCTCACCCATTACAAACAAGCAGTTAAATTGCTTTAATTCCAAAATACATCCCAAATTTGACCACTTCTCACCCCTCCTCCCAATTTTGGGCTGCCATCATTCCTAGCCTGGTCACTGTCCCAGTCTCCTTGTTTCCATCCTTGACTTACAATCCAATTTCTGCATGAGAGCTACAGGGAACTTTCTGGAAAACAAATTTGGCCATGACATTACTCTGCTTAAAACAAACAGCTTCCCATTAACTTGGAAACAAAGCTAAACTGATCTCAGTGGGCTGCAAGGTCCTACACCATGTGGTCCTGATTGATGTCTCCCTCCCTTCCCTTGCTCACTAAGCGCCAGTCACTCTGGCTTCCTTTCTGCTCCACAAACGTTCCTCACTCGTTCCCCTGTGGGTATGCTGAAGAAGGAGTGAAAGTGGAGAGACAGAGGATGGAGAATGGGCAGGACATGGTAACTGATGGTGGGTGTTCACAGGAAAGGCCTGAAGGTGACTTTGCCAGAGTTGGGGCGGGGGGGTGGGGCTAAGCCCTGCTGCACTCACCATGGCGAAGAGGTTGTCATAGCCTTTGACCTTGGTAGGCACCTTGGAGAACTTCTGGTCAAATGCATCGGAGATATTGTGGGCTGGGTCAGTGGAGATGATCAGAACACTCTCCCGCCCCTTGGATAGCTGGACTGCTAAGCTGCAGCTGGGCAAGGGAAAGGCCAAAAGGTGGGAAGTGAAGGGTTAGGCTCTGCTCCTTAGGTCTGCATGGGGAGAAGAAGGGTCCCAGGAGCAGGGGACCTGGATCAGCAAGGGCCTTGAGAGAAGAGTACGGATGACTGTGGGATCAAGCCTCAATCCCTGCAGAGGGACCCTATCAGACCTCACCTACTGAGCCCTCCAGCTGGCTATATAGTGGTAAGGTTCAGCTGAATGTGTCCGTCCCGCCTGATGCCTGCTTCCTTGCTGGCACAAAGTAACATGGTCCAGCTATCCAGCCAACTCGACCCTGTGTCCCCTCCCTCAACTCTAAACTAAGGGGTCCTTTGCACCTCCTGCTAAATTCGATAGTTCAGTCCACTTGTCCAGGGTAATTTGCCCCGGGGACCCCTCCCCCTCTTCCCAGCTGAATGGGTAGTCTGATCATGTGCCCTCTCTCCCGCCTTCCACCCCCACCCCCACGTGGGCGTAGAATGGCAAGGTTCACCAGACTAGGATAGTTCGCCCCGGTGCCCCTCCCCCTACTCTGGGCTCACTCTGGTACAGTCTAGCTGATTGGGACATTTAAACGCTCTCCAGGCTCCCGTGCGCTGGATCCAATGTGGTTCAGCCCTTGAACAGGCCTGCATTCAGGAGGTAGCTTCCATTTGCTCCCGATAACTTCCGAAGAGTACAACCCAGAAGGCCCCAGCCCAGCCCTCCTGCCCGGCTGGTGGTGGAAGACCCGGTCCTTGGCCTCCCCTTCGCCCTGTGGTACATCCCACCCGTTTTCCCGGCCACCACCGCAGCCTCCTTACCTGCAGGTGGTCTTTCCAACACCACCCTTGCCCCCGACGAAGATCCACTTAAGGCTGCGCTGCTCGATAATGTTGCTAAGCGTGGGCTCCAGCGGCTCCACATCAGGGGCATCTTCGAACTCCTCTGCCTCAACCCCCCACCCGGCCACCCCTGCCGCCATCTTGGAAACGGCTCACGTGATCAAGCGGAGCGCACCATGCAAAGCACCTACAGGGGAAATTTCCTATCACAACCCCATCAAGGCTAGAAGATTGAACCAATTTTCTCATGGCCTAACTCTTAGGAGCTAATAGAAGCTATATTTCCAACGTCTTCCCCTTCCAAGGTTCAGCTTGTCAGCCTCTTGTCTATATTTTCTTCAAAGACTCCCCCTTCCTAATTAACATATTGGTACATCCCAGGTTACTCCCCTTTACTGATTGGCCCCTAAGTCTTGCAGCACTCCTTTCATTGGCTACATCTTTTCTTACGTTTACCAATCACTCTCAGGTCCCGGTAGCCGCCAACCTCTCCTTAGCAACCGGCCAAACACCCACTGCATACCTTTTTGAAGAAGTTAGATCCGAGGTCCACCCTGACCTGACCCCATAGGCTCAACTTCATGTCGATCATTCCCCCCCTATTCTCCAACCTGGGTTCCAACACCGCCTCTGGCCCGTCTCTTCTGTTATTCAATTGGCTGGGAACCACCGGGCTCCTGACGCAAACCAATCATAAACGAACCGATTAGTTGGCTGGAGACGGTCCCGGGGCTGCTGTGGGCGAGGTCCGCAGATCCTTGTCCAGTGAGCCCTGAGCCCCCATGCAGGACAGGACAGGGCAGGGACAACACTTGCAACTGCGCTCCTTGTCGTAGAAGGGACCCTGTTCCCGAAAACCTCCTTCCAGTTTGCTCTCTGTCCGAGGGGAAACTCCAGTTCAGCCAATTCTCTGAAACTCTGCCCTGGGCAGGAATACAGGCTGGGTCCCAGGCCCTTAGCGGATACTCTTAGGTGGAGACTCCAGCCTAGAAATATCCGCGGTTTCATGAGTACTCTAGCACATAAAATAATACCCTGACGTTCAAATGGGGATCCCCGCTCCTTGGAGTCAGCTGTGTCTCTATTCCCAAATAAAAGCTCCACCCCAGAGACAGGTACCCAATCCAGAGACACCCCTATTTCTATTCTGGGGGCCCAGGCTAGATATGCCCTCTAGTTAGTCCTAGTTAGGGACCCAGCTTCCGAGATGTCAGCTGAGCACACAGCCTCAGGCGAGGTCCCACCCCTCACTGAGATTATCCCTGGTGCCAGAAGTGGATTCTAGCCCCGAAAAGCTAATACGCCCCTAAGTCCCAAGCGGGAACCTCACTCCGAGAGCCCGCTACAGCCCCAGGCGCAGACAATAGTCTCATTCCGGAAGAGACCATCTCTGCGTAACGCCTGCGGGAGTCTAGCAGGGCTATAACCATCCGCGGGGCGGAGGCGGGAGCGGGGCGGGGCGGGGCGTCTGCCCGCCGGCGCGTAGCGTCAAACCTTACTCCTCATTCACCCCGCCCCTCATGCCCCGCCTCCACTGCGGATGCCTGAGGGCCAGACCGGTCTTCCCGGCATGCATTGCCCGGGACGAGGCAAGTCTGGCGCCAAGCGCGGGCCCGGAGCGGCCTTCCCGGAATCCTTTGCGAGGTACCTGGCGACAAAATGGCTGCCCGAGGGAGACGGGCGGAACCTCCGGGCCGGGAGGCGCCGGGCCCCGCGGGCGGCGGCGGCGGCGGGAGCCGATGGGCTGAGTCCGGGCCCGGGACGTCGCCCGAGAGCGGGGATGATGAAGTGTCGGGCGCGGGTTCGAGCCCGGTGTCGGGCGGCGTGAACTTGTTCGCCAACGACGGCAGCTTCCTGGAGCTGTTCAAGCGGAAGATGGAGGAGGAGCAGCGGCAGCGGCAGGAAGAGCCGCCCCCGGGCCCGCAGCGACCCGACCAGCCGGCCACCGCCGCCGCCGCGGGTCCCGGGGATCCGAAGAGGAAGGGCGGCCCGGGCCCCACGCTCAGCTTCGTAAGGAGCCGCGGGGGTGGGGGCGGGCACCAGGGCCTTCCTTGGCAGGGGGAATCGGGCTCGAGAAAGGGGAGCGGGATCCAGGTCCACCCTCCGACCCCGATGAGGGAGCCGTCCGGGTCACCCGCTGAGGATTCGGAAACTGGATTCTCGACGAGAGAGGTCTGGGGGCGGAGGTGGGGACCCCCGCAGTATGCCCGCAAGAACTGGGAGTTGGGGGGAATTCCATTGGAAACAGCGCTCCGAGGATGGGGAAACCAGGATACCAGGATTCCTGTTTGAGTGGAATCCCGAACTTTGGATACTGGGACCATCCCCCACTATGGGGATGGGGGGCATAGTCAAGTCTGGACTCTGAGCTGTGTGGATGAGAGACTCAGACTGCTTACTGTGTGACCCTAGCAGATTTGCTTGAGTTCCCTGAGTCTCATTCGTCCAGTGTCCATTTATTGAGCACCTTACCTTGTGCTGGGCAGTGTGCTAGGTGATGGGTATGCTGTGTTGATTATGACAGGCATCTCTGCTTTCCTGGGGCATCTGATCTGGTCTAACCTCATTTTCCCTGCTTGTAAAAATGGGCATCATCGCATCTTCTGATGTGATTAGCACTGGGCCTTTCTTATAGGAAGGGCTAAACCAGTGGTTCTCAACTGGGGACGATTCCCCTCACCTCATCCCCACATTTGCCAAAGTCTGGAGATATTTTGGTTGTCTGGGGGAGGGAGTGCTATTGACATTTATGAGTAGAGGGCAGGAATGGTGCTCAACATCCTACAATGCGCAGAACAACTGTCTCCCCCTCCCGAACAAAAATGATCCAGTTCAAAATGTCACTAGTATATGCGATTGAGAAACTCTAGGCCACAGAAATGGTACCTACCTTGATTGTCAACTCTGAGCTTGCTTTGTCTCTGGTGTTGAGAGCAAGTTCCTGTGGTATGGAGAAAAAAGTGTGGTGTGAGAGTAACGAACTGGGGGTCAAGTTTCTTCATCTGTCAAAAATGAGTGTGAGAATAGTCCCAACAGCGCAGGTCACTTAATGCCTGGCTGAGGGGTAGGGATGGGATGTCTGTAAAGCCTGTTGCAGCCCCTGGGGCACAAGAAACCCTCAAGTGTGTGGGAGAAAACAGAAGACCAGGATGAAAGTTCAGAGTAAGACTTATGTTTGAGGAAGGGGAAGTGGCAGGACCTGGGCTGGTGTGAGAACTGGGTGGAGGCCGAGTGCCCCTCTGTGAGTGAGAATAGCAGTAGTTGTCGCTGCCTGTTTCATTTGTTCATCAAGGGGCCGTTTGCAGGAGCACCTGCAAAGAGGCCAGGCCCGGTTACGTGTAGGGGAACAGTGTCGCTTGGTGGTTAAGAATGCTGCTCTGGCCTAGACACACCTGACCCAGAATCCAGCTCCACTGTTTGCTGTTGGCATGATCCATGGTACAGGCTTCTCCTTTTCAGAGATGTTTCCTCATCTTTACAATGGGGATGGTAACCTTCATCGTAAGGTGACTGTGAAAGTGGAAGGAGATAGTATATCCAAAGCACTTGGCACAGGGCTTAGCATACAGTAAGTGCTCAATAAAGGGAACTGTTGCTGTCTGTGTGGTTTCTACTAGGGGAGGGTGAGGACAGTGCTCGTCCCCACCGATGTGGGAATTCTTTTCTCTCCCTGGGAGGGCAGCCTGGGGGCCCAGTACTGCCTGGGCATCATGGGCCCAGGGCAGGCGCTGAGTCGCGTGTGCTCCTCTCTGATTGCTGCGCAGGTCGGCCGGCTGGTGGAGCTGGGCGCGGCGTCGGGACGGGCCACCGGGCCGGGCTAGGAAGGTGTAGTGGGCCTCAGCGCCGCCAAGGGCGGGCCCCGGCTCCTGTAACCGTTGCAGTCTTCTGTCCCTTCACCCAGGTGGGCAAGCGCAGAGGCGGGAACAAACTAGCCCTCAAGACGGGAATAGTAGCCAAGAAGCAGAAGACGGAGGATGAGGTGAGCAGGCTGGGTGTGGGGGGCTGCCCACGTTGCCTTTTCCTTCCAGCCTCAGTTCCTGGCCCAGGTGCCCTGTCCCTCCCTCCTCAGTATCTAGCCCTTGGATGGGTGTACTGGGTGGGGGAGGAGGGCTTTCAACAAAGTTCCCAGATAACTTGATTCTCCATATCTTTACCTCACACCCAAGACCTTTGCGGTGACTCTGTGGGTGGGTCAGCTGTCTCAGGACAGTCCTGACCCTGGTTCCTGGCCTCCTTGGCATCTCCTTCCCAACCCCCGTGTGTCCCTCCCCTCCCCCCAACAGGTATTAACAAGTAAAGGTGATGCATGGGCCAAGTACATGGCAGAGGTGAAAAAGTACAAAGCCCACCAGTGCGGCGATGATGATAAAACTCGGCCCCTGGTGAAATGACCCCCCTCCCTGCCTGCCCACGGCCTGGGACTCTGCGATGTACATAACTATTTAATGCAGCGGCAGCGCGGCAGCCTTTTTCCCCCAAGGACTTATATACAGAAGGAAACCGAGATGCTTCCTGCAGCTGCCGCAGCTGCGGACGATTCTCCAGGACTCTTTTTTACCTTGAGCACTTGTCTCCTGAGACTTCATAGAACAGTGGTTTACTGTCCCCTGTCTTCCCAGCTCCTCCCTCTCTCTGGCTCTTTCTGTCTTCCTCTTCTCATCCTCTCCTCCCTCCCTTTAGCCATCACTTCTGGGAAGTAAAGAACTTGACCTAGTGCTGGAGCTGTGTGCTTGGTTTGCCTTCTTTGCTGTTCTCCAACCTAAGCCCTCCCCTCATGGCTGGCACTGCACCCACCAAAGCCTGGATCTGGCCCAGTGAGGGAGGGATTTGGGAGGGTGTGGGGGGAGAACGAGGGTGCATCACCTCCTGTAGGCCTGAACTCTCCTCAGGTCTCACCCCTGACTTTCCCCCCCACTGTTGGGTGTTCTTGTTCAGTGTCCCTTCACAGTCCCATTTGGGCTGGGCCAAAGCTGTCAGTTTGTTCAAATCAGAAGACACTGAGCACCTCTGGTGTGCCTGGGTTTTTCTGGGCCCTGCGGCTGCTGCAGTGAACAGAACAGACCATGCATGCTCCCTGCCATTGTGGAAGAAAACAGACACAGATGAAAGGGGGAAGCCGTTCTGGGACGTGACTGCGAAGGACAGGATAGAGGCTGCAGGGAGGGGTCTATTTTAGTTGACACATCTGACCAGAGTCCTGAGGGAGGTGAGAAAGCCTGTCCCAGGGGTAGTGAACAGCCAGCATAAAGACAGGGAGAGTGCCTGGCCCTTATGGGCAGCTTTGAGGAGGCCCCTATGACTGGAGCCAGCTGAGTGAGGAGCATGGGTGGATTATATGCAGAGCCTTGTGTGCTAGGGTGAGAAACCTTTGGGGGGGTTGTGAGGTAAGGAGCAACATGATGTGTTTTATTCAGTATGTCTTAACAGGATCCCTCTGGCTGAAGGGGTCTGGGCAGAACCTGGGAGATGGAGGAGGCCAGGCCATGATCAGGCAAGGGGAGGTGATGGGGTGTTGGCAGTGGAGGAAGTAAAGAGGGCTAGGATCTGGATTCCCGTGGGGCTGCTCTGTCCTGCCAGCTACCTGTAGCCCTTCCAGGGAAGGGGCTTGTTTGTCCCACCTTGCAGAACATGACAGTTGATATATCAGGGGACAAGGTATCCTAAAGGAAACCTGATGCCCCTAGTGCCCCTCTAGTACTCCTTGTACTTTTGTGTCTTCCTGGCCTCATTGCTCATCCTGCTGGAGCTGAAGGCTGCCTGGCTGCCTGCTTTCCCTGGAGCCCACAAATATTTTAAGATGCCCTTGCCTCCTGACCCCTTTTCAAACCTATTAGACCTGGAGCAACATCTAGGCCCCCCAGCTGTGGGCCCATCTCCCAGGCCTTCCCAGGCACGAATGCTGAGCAGCTCGGCACTCCTGCCCATCCTAGGGCCAGGCTCCCAACCCTCTTACAACGGGGGAGCATCATGACTCTGAGGATCAGGTGGTAACCATGTGCTTGGCCCTCCACCACCCGTAGAGGCAGGGGGAGGAGGGCTGAGGTAGCACCTACCCAGCCTCACACTGCCAGATTCAGCCTGTGGAGCGTGGGGCATCCCAAATACTGAGCACGAAAACACCAAACTCTCTGTCCTAGTGGAGCGAACATTCTGGTTGGGGGAAACAGACAAGAAACAAAATACAGAACACCACATGTTTATACATTCTGTGGCGGGGGAAAAAAGCATGAAAGGGGGACTGTGATGAGAGTGGGAGAGATGATAACTTTAAATTGGTCGGGAATGGCCACACCATTTGTTCCAAGTCCCGAAGGAGGTGGGGCAGGCAGTGAAGATGGTTCTTGGAAGAGTGTTCAGGCTAAAGGAACAGCAGGTGCAAAGACCCTGAGCTGAAACCACCCCCGGCTTGAAGAGTGAGCAAACAGCCTTTGGAACAGGCAACATGTCCCCCCTCACTTCCTGCTAACACACTGTAAGGCTTGTCTGGTTTATTTTCCACATCACCTCAATGGTCTCCCTCCTACTTTCAGGATGCTGAGCTGGCCCAAGTGTGACTTTAACCTTGGGGATGTAGTGTGGGGGAGAGGACATAGGAAGCCAATGGAGCCAACTCTACCTCCTCCTCCCTCAAAGCCACCCACAGCCTCTGGATCTTTAAAAAGAAACATAAGTGGGAGAAGTAGGTCGCCCCTGCAGCAGCTCAGCCTCTATTCTGGAGTATCAGGAGGCAGAGGGAGCTGATGGTGTCCCAGCACCTCCTTTCACTGAGCTCACCTACCCTGACCTGGGGAAAGTCTGAAGAGGGAGGAGAATCAAATTCAGGTTTTGGTGAGTCACACAGTCCCAGCTTCAAACTATTCTGGTGTCTGTTTGCTGTGTGATCTTGGGCAAGTCATTTAGCCTTTCTGTGGTTCAGGTTCTTCATCTATAAAGTAGAGAGAAAATACTGAAGCTCCTTGTAGAGTGAAGTTCTAAAGTAAGGGCACTGTTCATACAGCCATCGTTAACTCTGACAAAGTGGCTGTTATTGCTTCTCTAGGTGAAGCAATTGGCTTGTGTTTGGGGACCGTGTTTGAGAAATACCTTGATAGGAAGGTGCAGTGTGATGAGATGCTCAGGCAGGGAGGCTGTTGTAAACTGAGAGGTGTTTGTCTCCCATCTCAGATTCACGGTTGGGCATCAGTTCTTTGAGTTTCGTTTTTGCACTGAGCGCTTCTAGTTGAAGTAAGTTTGCCGTGCACAGCGCTGTTGTGAGAATACCATTTGTACACTGAAAGGCAGTAGGTGCATAATAAATACGGGGAAAAAATTTTTTTTTTGATTTTCTATTCAGTACTGAAATTCACCATCAGGGGAGAGGAAGAAAGATCTGTGATCACACGAGGGCCAATACTGTGGACTATACAGGCAGCAGGGGTCACATTATTCTGCCCTAACTCCTCGCTCCCCCGAGGCCTGCTCGGGGCCGTTGGACACTAGACATATTAAAAGTAGGGGGTGAGCATTAACAAATTTTCTCCTGCATCTCCAACTCGCTCCCCACGTGACCCTTGTCTGAGGCAACCCCCAACCGTGAGCAGAAAACTACGGTTCGCATCCTCTCCCGAAACCCCCAGATCCCGTCCCAGCCCCTCAGCCTTATTCTTCCTTCTGCTCAACGCCCAACTCTGGGGAGCTCTCCAACCCCTCAGATTCGAGTCTCAGCCAGAGACCGTAAGCGCGGCGACGCGGGCGCACGGCAAGATGGGATTTGTAGTTCTAGGTCCTCACGATGCGCGCGGGAAGACCATTGCGCATGCGAAGGCGGCGGCTTTCCGCACGTGTCCCTCAAACCGGTTTCCTGTCTAGCGGAGCCGGCTGAGGTGGGAATCCAGTCCGCTACTTTAGGGATCCCAACTCCTGAAGTGGAGTTTGGCGCCAGCTGACCCTTCCCAAAACCCTGGCGGCCCCAGTATTCGGCAAGAGAGGGCTTAGGTACCTGTTTTTCATGAATGAACGGAGCCAGGACTGACTTTGCCAATGGCAAGTGGACTGAGAAAATTGTCCCCCTCCTCCAGGCTGGGGCAAGAATTGACCTGTGCGTCTCCCGAGGCCAAAACGTCCCTCAGGGCAGGGCTGGGTTGTTCTTTGGGATTAGAGCCCTAGTTGATTCAGTGAATTCAGTAAATATTGGTTTAGGGAGGAGCCAAATACGGTAAAAGGACGGCCTTGAGCCTCGGAGTAAAAGCCACGTTTTTGAAGAACAATTTACTGCATATCTTGTAATGCTTAACTTGGATTATCTCAAACCCAGCAAACTATTCTTATACCCATTCCACAAATGGGGACACTAAAGCTCCGAGGGGCATAAGGTCGCCCAACTTTTTGTCAGGAGGGCGGAGACGTGGGGAGGGGGGAACGGGGACGCTCATGCTCCTCCCTACTCCGCTTTACTCTTAAGAGAAAGAAAAGGGGTGCCCTACTTTGTCCTCAGACGGCACAAGAATCACGGAATGTCTTTTTTCATCTTCCTTCCCTTACCTAAATTTCCTTAACTGTTTCACCTCATTCAGCCTCAGGGAACGAAAGGAGATAGGCCTTTTGCTCTAGCGTTTATTTTATTAGTTCATTTCATTTAAAATTTTATATCCTCGTGGGTTTATTTTTTTATATCCTTTTAAAAGTTGTCAAACAGTACTGGAAAATAAATAACGCAAAATATGGCAGAGGCTTCTTCAGGAACCCAGCCCGTCTCAGGCACTCCCTTTGTCTGACTTTCCCTCCTTTGTCTCGGGTATAAAGTCCACCCCAGGCTCAGTCCCCTCCACTCTTTCTCTGCACGCACATGTACTCCTCCCAAGTACCGTCTGGATGGAGGGAGGAAGGCACAGTTAAATTCTTAGAGGAGGGGGGTGACAAAGGCGCAGGTGGCTCTGACTGAAGGGTTTACAGGTCCACCATACACCAAAAAGTCCCACGCGCCACCAAACTCCTAGTTCCAGAAAAGAGCTCCTGTCAGGCCGGCGTTGAGGCAGGCTGAGAAAACGAGATGGTGGGAGGACCGGCCGGCCAGAGAGGCCTAGAGAGCCTTCATCTCTTCGGTCACGTGACCCAGCCTCTGCTGGGCCTAGGTCTCCCGGTGCCAGGCCACGTGCGACGGCTGTTTCTCCTGATTGGTTCTTCTAGGCCAGTTTGAACGGCGTACGGAAGCCTCCGCAGTTCATATACGGCCGCGTTTTCTTTTTTCTTTTTTTTTTTTTTTGCTCCCTGTCTTTGGCTCCCTCCTTCCTCGCGAGTCTCAGGAGAAGCCGCGGCTTAAGGCCCCGCTGCTGCTGCCCGAGGCCGGGTAAGTGAGCCTCACCCGGACCCTAACCGGCTGGGCCCCGGCTTGCGTCGACCCCCGCAGGGCTTCAGGCCTGCGCGGCGCGCGGCCCGGGCGTCGGGGCCGCGCCTGACCGAGAAAGGCCGAGAACCCGGTTGGGCCCGATTGAGGAGGCAGCGAGAATGGGCCGGGGCGGGGGAGGGGGGAACCGAGCCGGGCTTAGGGGGTGGGGCCTCGGAACCGGGCCAGGTCCCGGTGCCGCGAGAATCGGGCCAGTGGGACGTCTGGGGTCGGGCTGGAGGGGCTCTGATTGGGGGAATCGTATGGGGACTGCTTAGGGACTGATTGGGGGACGTCGCGAGGATCGGGTGTGTGTAGGGGGCTGTTTCGGTGGGGCATGGTTGGGTCTGGTTGGGGGAG